CATCTCTAAGCCAATACAAAACAGAGATCTACAAGCAGCAAAGAACATGCAGAGGCAGAGGGTTGAAATTTTATTTTCAGGTGTGATGTATAAAGATAGTTTTTGTGAAAGCCAGAAGATAGGAACAAAGGACGCAAAGAAAGGGAAGGAAAAAAGAAAAATTTGTTGACTTTGTCCTGTAAATTGTTTTGTTTGTATTTGTCTAGCTCAATGAAATCTTAGGTGCACATGATCCATCTTCATCGCTGCTGGGGTGGGTGCCGGGCGGCGACCCCCTGGGGGACAAGGTATCCCATAAGTTCAAAAGTTTATTCAAAATCATAGTGTGCTTTGCAAGAAAATCATATAAATATATATATGTATACCTGAGAAGGGAGGGGACGAAAGCCAGCCACCGTAAAAGATATCAATATGGTTATGGGGAGTGAATGCGAGAACCCTGGTGAGCTCCCACCGCTTTTCCTATCACCTCCTCCCCCGCTATGCACATGAACTCCCACTCCATATGGGGTGCCCTTTGCGTCTGGTTGACAGGCCTCTTCACCATAAAAAAAATGGCACCCCCAAGTAACTCAAAGCTTGCCCGCTGCATTCTGTTCCCTCCCTGTTCTCAATGAATGGGTCACATCGTTTCTTGCAATCCCTCTTTTCCTATCATGTCCTCCCCCACTGCGCCTGTCTCGTCCACATGAACTCCCACCCCATATGGGGGGGCCCTTTTGCGTCTAGTTGACGGACGCATTCGCCATTAAAAAAGGGCAACCCCAAGCAACTCTAACATTTCTTGCAAACACACTTTTCCTACCACGTCCTCCTACGCTATGCCTGTCTTCCACCTTCCCCACAGCACTCTGGCTCCTCACAGATCACACAATGTCTCAAAAGACACACTTAGATAATGGGTTTGCAGTTACATCTGTTCAACGGAAAGGCGAGTGAGTCCGAAAAACTTGAAGATGTTTAACACAGGTTTTGCGTGACTGCGGAAGCTAGTTACTGCATTAGCACTTTACTGCAAAAACGCTGCAAAAACGGTAAGGCGAGGGTCCGAAGAACAGAACTGTTTAACAAACTCACTAGCACTTTACCAAAGCTAAGGAAACCTGTTTTGGAGGATATCATGTGAAGAACCACCATGAAAACAAACCAGGAAAAGTGGAGTCACAGCGTGGACAAAAGTTTCGCCGGTACGTTTTCAGCCCTCTCCAGTGGCCTCTTCGTTGGCCATCCGTCACTGGGGAGGGGGATGGCCCCAGCTTTGCAAAAGTAGAACAACCAATCTCTTAGGAACAGAGTGTGACACACACACACAGGCACACCTCCCTTCCACGCTATTTCGCTGGCCATGAGAGGCGCGCATCTCCCTTTTCTGGAGGAGTTCCAACCACTTTTCGCGTCCCGTTGTCCCCTCTTCCTCTTTCCTATCATTGACATGAACTCCGACCCCTGGTAGAAAACGGTTCACATGGCCTCCTGAGCCCCTCGTGATGCTAATGATGCACTCCTTGCCGTCAATGACATCACCGGCATCACAGCCCCAAAAACTGAGTGACTAAGTGGCCACCTTTTCTTTTTCGCTCTCCCCCACCAGACTCTGGGCTCACCTCTCCGAAATTGGCCACCTCGCGACCACCCCCCCCACACCCCCTTTAACTCACTTCGTTCGCTCCCCTACCTCAAGCCTTGCCTATCGGCTGGCTTTCGTGATATGTGTATTAAAACTGCACCAAAACAGTGCAAACACAAGACCAACCAAGTCCTTGCTTGGCAAAAGTAATACAAACATGTGTATCTGTATATATGCATATATAGACGATACAGTATGTGTTTTGAGCTTTCTGTGTATATATACGTGCTTGCGAATTGGCTTACAAACCGGTCCTGAGTGTTCCCTTCCGACAATCCAGGATTGGTTGGCTCTTGAACAGGTTGGCGCCCATTTTGGACACATTTGCAGTGTCGGCCTGCCCCAGTCCGGACGAAGCTCCAGAGCTTTTTGAGCATCTTCTTTGGATGCCTCAAAATGCCCCACCTTGGCAGGTAAGAACACTTGTTCTGTTGAGGCTTAGCAAATACTAGTAAATTTAAGCAAATGTGTGCTACCCTGTGCGTGCATGCGTGTGCCTGTGCCTGTGCATGTGCCTTTGTTTGTTTGTTTGTCTGTTTGATTGTTTGTTTGCTTGTTTGTGCGTGTGCGTGTGTCTTCGTGCAACGCGAGCAAGATGCGAAACGCATTGAACCTCAACCTATGCGCACCTCTGAATGTACTCTGTTGAGTCTAATGCCCCTTCTCACGCTTCCAGGCTGCACACCTTCGCCCAACAAGCTGCCCGATTTGACAGCACCTGAGTTGCACTGGGCTTTCCAAATTCAGGTGCTCTTGGCTTTACGCTGTGTACCCTTCAGTTGCAGATGGGGCACTGCTGCTTGGACTGATGGTTCATCATCCAAATGTTCCTCCATCCACCTGGCTCAAGAATGTTCAACAAGAGAGTTGACTCTAGGTTTGCCTGATTTCTTTGCCATGGCAGGATCCATTCAGTCGGTCCTTCATCATTATACAATATATTTGTGCAAACGTTTGAATCTTTGCAGCACCTGGTATAGAAGCTGCCAGCCATGAAGTAGTTCTTTTCATGAAATGCCTGCAGCACAAAGTGCCAAAGAATCTGATTACATCCAATTGCTGTATTACTCTCCCCTTTTTCAAGCCCAAAACTTTTATGAACTGCAGGCGTCCGGGGTGACACTGATTGGCATTGAGAACCGCGCCTCATCTGCCAGAACCTTCCAAGGCATTGCCGTAGCCTCACTGCAGTCACCGGAGACTGCAGCTGGTGCATTGGCCAAAGACATGGGCAAGATCCGGCGGATTGCCTCACGCAAAGGGTCTGCAATCAGGGAATTTGGGGGGGCCATGAAAAACCACTGAATCGTTGCTGCGACTCAGTGGCATTCGGATAAGGCTGGAGCTCTGAGCTGGCTTGACTTGCGAAGGGAACGACCCCACAGGAAACTACAATAGGTGCCTTTACACGGCACCAGTCAACGTGATCAAAGCGTGTTTTATCGTTTTCAAAAGGGTTGCTCTTTCTTTGAATGTTGTCAGAGTGCCGAGGTCGACATATGGGTGCTCCCTCCCATTGTGAGGCCTTTCGTATCAACAGGATTGGGCTCTCGATTTTGCGGCCTTGAAGACATGGAAGGCAGTGAGCTTCAAGAGAGGCACCAAGCTATCCTGACGAGATGATCTTCAAAGAAAAGACGAGCATGGCATTTCGAGTGAGCTCCCGCCACCTTAAGGTTCCGCCACTCTGAGGCCGCCTTCTTCTTCGCACCTTGAGCACTGCACTTTTTGAAGAGGGAAATGCCTTTTTTTTATCTTCTAGGCGAAGTCTTTGAAGAGGGAGAAAAAGTGTGTTCTGCTTGTTTCAAGATGTTTACAACTCTTTTGTGTTTCAAGTGTTCTACGGCAGGCCTTACTGGCGGTTGAGAGAAGCTCCGGATCACGGAAGACTCTTCCCTTCTTGCTTGAACAGGGCTGCATCCCAGACCAGACCTAAAGTGAACACATTATATAATATGGCAATTATATTGTGGTCTTTGGTATCAATTACAGTAAGGCAAAAATATCACAATTATATTATGATCTTTGGTATCGATTACAAAAGACCAAAAGAAGAATGAAGAAATGGGTTTACCTTCCTGTGTTTGTCTATGTGTTCTTTGATTTTGCCTGATTTTGCCCAACCACTGAGCTGCTTACAGGGCGGCGAACAAATCGACACTGCAAAGATGGGCTCCACAACACACCCAGCACTCCTGGAGATACAGGGTGCATTGAGTGCATTAAGGAGTAGTGTGCAAGGTGTGCAAGAGCGTTGAACAGCCCGTTACGCAAGGCCATTGCTCGGTATGTAATTGAAGTCCCCATCATTATACTGTACAGCAAATTCTGTTTGATTAGTGTGATTCTTGCTATTTCTATTGAAAGTTGCTGGAATTCTATGGTGTTTGTTGGAACTGTCCTCAAAGGCAAAGCTATTGACCTACAGAGAGGGTTGTAAATCCAGGATTGGGGTAGGACGTCATGGCATGCAATGGTCCTTGAAACTTTAAAGCTGGAGCGACGCACCGGATCAATTACTAGCAGCTTCTAGCTACTGGTAGTAATGCCCTTCTTATTGCTGCTGCTGCTGCTGCTGTAGTAAGGCCCTTGCTACTAGTAGCTTCTTCTTTGACCGAGGCCAATATCGCTTTGGACATGCTTGAAAATGTCGTGCTTTGTATCTTCTGTTCAATACATTTCAACACCCATGCCAGTGCTTCTGTGCTTCTCTCTTCAAGGATTTAATGTCCTTGGTTGGTGGAGGTTTGTGTAGAACGTCACTTTGCAGGTCGGCTTGGTGAAGAGTGTCATGGGCTCACCCCATGGCTCCAGAGTCACCTTCCAGCTGCTTTCAAAGTATTTGGTTGATGGAGTTGATGTTATTGTACTATCTCTCGTACTTACATCTGCGAGGGTTCGGTGCATCATGTTTGAAACACTGCGATCCAGCTGGTTGGGCTTCGAACCCTACAGCTAGCGTCCCATTGTTGCCGTCGTGCCAGCCGACCTCAGTTTCTTAGTCTAAGCAATTTAAGCAAATGTTCAATCTCTCAAAATGCCTTGCATGTGCAACTCACACAGCATCACCAGAAGTTGTGAGGTCCCAATACCGAGAGTCCTTCTAGAAGTTCTGAGGTCCCGGCGAAGCATGGCTGGTGCTTCATTCGCTGTCTGCCTAACACTTGCATGTTCAAGACATGGCCTTCTAAGTCGGCAGAGAGGCTTTTAAGCATTCAACTCTCCATATTGTTTGCTTATGTCCTAGATCGTCGCGAAAATTGTTGGGTGCATTCTTGCCCACCAAGCGTCTGATCTGCTTTGGCAAAGCCACCTGGGGGCCTCAGACTTTTCGGAAGGACCCTGCGACAGGTGGGAGGATACAGGTTGCAGAAGAAGAGAGATGAACAGAATCCTGTTGAAGTATGCTTGGTATGCTTCATTTCTTGGTGTCGACATGAAGCACATCATGTTCATAAAATGTGCGAAGTTGGGAAAACCAAAACTGTTCTTCCTAACTGGTAACTTTTGAGCTCAATTAATCAATTATATAATATATATATAAAGGTTAATAAAGCCTGCCGACGAAACGAATGGAAACCACTTGGAAGGTTGAGGTTGAACATCTGGTATGGTACTGCTACCACCGGAAGTTGCCACAACTTTTGGTTCCTATCTTTCGCCCAATGGAACTCCGCAAAATGATTCGATTCTACAGGTTTGTTACATCCACGTCACCTCAAGTATAATTGTGTCTCTGGGAAACCATGCTTGAACCGCCCAGGAAACAAAATACCCTGGAGGTGAGGTTGAGCAGGTGAGGTGAGGTGAAGTCTGCATGGCCAAAAGGTGAAAGGCCCTAAGACTGCATGGCTGGGATGCAAAAGAACATGGCAACACCATGCGAAATGCAAACATACACTATTCAAATCAAAGCTGAAAGGCTATCTTTTGACAACGTTGATGAGAATCCAGCGTTCGTTACCACTGGCAAACATAAATTCACCTCGCAGTATGCCAAGATCCCACGCCCCAAGTTGTGCATCAGCAGGAAGGATTGAATCCCAGACCTCTATGTGCAGGGGTACTGGAAACCAAAACATGAAGCAAACCGAAGTTTGCCTAAAGTTAAGCGGAACCATGTCTGATTTATTGGTTCAACAAATCTGCAGTAAGTCCTTGGTTCCCGCCTCTGCGACCCGTTGATCTCCCCTGAGCATGGGTCCAAATTGAACTAAACATGGTTTCAGCAGGGATATATCCGCTCTGTTGCACAGCAGGTTCACGGACATTTTTTCACAAAAGATTGAAGAAAGTCCTCAACCGTCTCACCACAAATTTTGTTTGGGCATGTCAAGGTCGCCTGGAAGGGTCTTCTGAGCTCCATTGACATGTTTCCCGGCCTGCCAAACATGAGAACAACACCCTCACACCGCCAGCCAAGTCAACTTCAAAAGCGTGTGTTGGTGTTTGTGTGTGAAACCCTTGGAATCACAGGGAGTCAGTTGGTTTTTTGCAGGGGGACCATCCATGTGCGGTGAGCGATGGTCCAACGAAGCGGCCACAGTACATGCGGATATCAAGGCTGATCACCGTGACGTACCTGCTTTGGTGTGATGTCTCCAAGCTGTTACTCCAATGCTCCATATCTGCAGATGTGAGCGGCCGCCGTCATTTCTCCCTGTCAACTTCATGGATTGGAATTTTGACCTCCTAGCCTAACCACTATGGCTACATGCCTTCTCAGCATTTGGGTACCTAGGTTGCCGCGTGGCGCGTGGCATTTGTACGCAATGCGTGTCTCTCCTTAGTGAGAGCCAAGGGTGAACCCGAGGAGTGTCCCCTGTGGCCCCGTCGAACAGAGGTTTGTCTATGTTTCCACTGCTGGGAAACGGAGTGGCGCGTAGCGAGCGTAGGAAGCTTATGCCAAAGTTATTTGCCAAGACTTGACGAATTCTTGGTCTGAGTAGGCAGCTTTCGGGCAAGCCACTAGGTGACCCTTGTGGCCAAAGCTGCCAGCCAGTTCGGCGCGGCGCAACGTGGCCGCAGCGGCCGAAATTCTCTCAAGGCTGACTGGACCCTGTCTCAACCTTAGGCGCACACACAACGTGTACCTTTAACGAGGCAAGGTCTGCCTAGGTTTTCTCTAATGAGGTCTGGTTTCGTTGGTTTCCGGCCCCTCCATTTGGTTTCCACTACCTTCAACCCAGGTTTCAGGTCGCGCAGGCTTTGACAATGAGGTCTGGTTCGCTGGTTGTCCCTGCGCGCTTAGCTTCCCCTTCATCGCAACGACACACATCGGTCTTGTCTTGTCTCCTTCTCACGTCTTCATCCTTTGGTCTTCTTCGCGCGCACACACGCGCATTTGTTCGCCCCCTAGTTTTTGGGCCCGCCATGTGGGGGGCGTGTGAAACCCTTCGAATAACGTGTCACAGGGAGTCAGTTGGCTTTTTGCACGGGGGCCATCCATACGCTGTGAGCGATGGTCCAACGAAGCGGCCACAGTACATGCGGATATCAAGGCTGATCACCGCGACGTACCTGCTTTGGTGTGATGTTTCCAAGCTGTTACTCCATTTTCCAAAAAGGGCTAATGCACTCTGCAGATGTGAGCGGCCGCCGGAATTTCGCCTGTCGACGCTTCGTTACTTCATGGAATTTTGGCCTCCTAACGCCTAGCAGCTAAGCGATGATCAGACCCCCTTATATGCCTTCTCAGGATTTGGGTACCTAGGTTGCCGTGCGGCGAGTGGCATTCAGTTCAGCGCGCAATATCTTGAGAGCGCGCGCGTGCGTTTTTGTTTGTTTGTTTGTCTGTTCGGGTGGGCGGGCGGGCGGGTGGGTGACACGATGGGTGGGCGACGCGATGGGCGGGCGATACGAAGTATATATAATAGCAGCGGGGCTCCCTTGGAAACGCACTTTTGAGAGCGGTTAGCGGACGAACGCGAACGAAAGCCACAAGTGCTATGGGTTGTTTTGCCAGGCATGTGCCAATATATGTCAATCACGCAAAGATACATCATTGCAATGAGATCAGACGCTATCCGCAGAACAAACGAAAATCTACGCGAAACCAAATTCCAACGCAGCGCTATACAGGCGCTTACCTTCAAGACGAACGGCATTAAGTCTAAACATCGAAGCTCGTAACGGCATTGGTACGCTGGAGCGCGACTTGCAAAGGATAAGCCCCGTGTGGTATCGTTCAATAGACATAACTTAACTCTCTGGCGCCGGTAGTGTTCTGGAGAATGTTCGTCTGGCTGGAAAGTGCGCGTGGCCGGATCAAAGACCAAAGATTGGCACCTGCCAGCGGATACGCCCCGGGACAAAGGATTGTGGGGATTTCTTTTCTTGGACACAACTGATGTGAGATATGGCGACTTAATAAATCCACCTGATGGTGGTACTGAATAGAACCTTCCAATGTGAAATTCTTCACGGTTGTTGCAGTATTGGCAACGTTCGCTCTTACCTCGCCTTACCGCGCCTCTGCGCGTCATGCCATCTTGCTTCTAGCACGGCGGGCGTAGATGTGTGGGAGGAAGCATTGACCGTCAAACGATTGAGTCTTTGCGGCGGTAATGTTTGTTGATCCCGGCGAGGAAACTGTGGATGTATGGAAAGCACGGCCACATCGAGCAACCACCAGTTTTTGATCATCAGCTAAATTTGACCCCCCCGGAATTCAAGTATTAAAGAGGCTAAGAAACCCAAAAACATTGAAAATCAAAACTAAAATAAATAACGCAACCCTGAAACACGCTTATTTTGCATGGTCCTACGTCCCCTTACCGTCATCATCATCATCATCATCATTGTCCTGGCCAACGTGACCATCTTCTTCTCCATCTTGTTTAGCCTTTTCTTCCCCCTGTTCTGCGTGTTCAGTGGCTGAGCTACGGTCGCTGGAGTGGCCAGAAGACATCCACCTGAATGCCCTGCTGAATCTCACTGGAATGACAGAACAGAAAACGGTCAAGATATCTTGGATAAATGGCTTGAGACACAATATGTTGTCTCCATTTGCCACTAATTTCATTGCACTGTTCTTCTTTATCCTGCCAGAACTTTAGGACGGGGAATCCTGATACACGTGTACGATCTAGAAGCCATTGAGCAAAAGTATTGTGACCTCTGGGCTTCACATTTTGAGATGAATGTCACGAACTCTTGATTCTCCCCACAGTGATTGAAGAAATTAGGCACTCTGTAGAAGGAAAAGTATGCGCTCCTGGCTCCTTTTGCGAAATAAGGTCTGAGTGTTTGCAGGATGTAAATAGTTAACTCCGTTGTCAGGGTCAGGATCCTTAAGACTATCATTGTCAAGCGCTCCCGGTAGATCGTGGCATCACCTGTCAGACGTGTCTTTAAAAGTGGACCATACTGTTCGGCCTTATCGATGCTGGCTATGGCTAACCGCGGCTAACCAATCATCAACAGCCTCGTAACGGAACCAACTGGCGCAACCATCGAATATCGGCAGCAATTTTGCATTCATGCGCAGGTCATCGGCCCTTCATGAGACGACCTAACCGCAAACGAAGGCACTGCTGCCATTGCTGATTGTTCGACGCCTGCCCATTGCATGTCCGTAGCGTCATCGCCTGACGTGGACATCACGAGCAGGCTCCGCGACACAAAGTTCAATAATTGCAGTGCACACTGTCTCGAGAGAGCGGTCCACCGGACAAACACAAAAACAAATTGACAAGTGCCATGGCGCGTGCAAGCAAGCACTTGTTTTGCCAGGCTTGGGCCAAATATGTCAGTCATGTAAAGATAAGAGGTGAGACCATACAGGGGTTAAGTAGGTTAAGTAGGAAGCAAAAGCAAAGCAAGCGGGCGGGCGGGCGGGTTGTTGCTGCTGCTGCTGCTTCTTCTTCTTCTCCTTCTCCTTCTTCTTGCTCTTGTTACTAATTACTAGCGCCCCTTCGGCTGTCCTCTACTGCGCTGCTAGAGATGTCTACATCACTCATAGAGAAAGCAAGTTTGACGCTCATCATAAGAATGAGTGCCCTCATGAGTTCAGTGATATACAAATACGACGCGCAAAGTGCAAATTCACTGTAGTCTTGTTCGATGTAGATTGGAAGCTTAGATAAAGTGCAAATAAATTTCATGCGCTTGACCAAAACCAGCTAGCATCGAGAATTAGAGAAGTTAACATGGGCTATTTAAGGGCAAGCCTGACCCAAAATCCTGCAACACATTATGGCTCAAGCAAGTGTGGTCGGGAGCTCGGACGGCATATCTGAAGTGCATGTTCTTCGGTTGACATGCTAGCGCATTCGAGTCATTAGAGGCTCATAGATGGTGTGGTGGTGTGGTGATGGTTGGTTGCTTGCGTGGTTGCCTGGTTGGTGTGAAGAGGAATACAAAGATGTCAGCAGCGACCACTTTTTTACCGCTGAGACCCAAGCAAGTGCGTCGCAATCTTGTCAGGCCGCGCGGATGTTGCAAGGCCACGGCTATACAACTCTCCAAAGCTTTTTCCAGCGGACTCGTTCGACATTCTCCAGCGAAAACAAAATAGTATTTCAATGTCGGACTGACCAGGTCTGAGATGGTGCTTTGGACTTCCACCAAGGTTTCACACCAAAGGTGGGTTGAATCAAGATTCCTTACATGGAGCAATCAGATGCAAAGAAGTGGGCAAGAAAGGTTCAAGCCACCTCTATAGCATCTCCTTGCTGCTAATAGCAACTTATGCCTCCTACGGGTCAAAGTACAACTCAAACTCCTGTTAAAGGTGTTTGTGGCGACAGGAGCGGCCGGATTCAAGTGTCAATAAACAAACACATCAATAAACATCCAATGTACAACAACCGGTGTGTTCTCATGTCACTGAAGACAGCAAGGGGGTTGTGCTCTCACCCTGCATCTGGCTACACATATTGAAAAGGTTTTTACAACTGGACCAGCAGACTGCACAGCACAAGAGGAGAATCTCCAAAGACATGATTGACACATATGTGCTAATCCAAGAAGCTGCTTCCTCACTTCCTCCCTACCAAAAATGCTAACTTTCTCCAGATCAATCATGCAGGGGTTCATCTCAGGCAGGGGGAACTTCCTTGAAACCGGAACATAGAGTGCGTCCTGGTGCCTAGTAGCGCCTCGCCTACCTAGTAGCGCCACTTAAGCTACTTTTTTGAACTTAAGCTAAGAAAAACTTGTATATTAGGCGTTCCATCCTTTGCCTAAGCCCACTGACCCCAACATACCCGACTGACATTTCACCAACTGGGTTTTCCTGAAAAGGAATGAAACCTTGGAAAGCCTTGGAATCTTGGCAGCGTGGCCCTTAGTAAACAAAGGGTTCTATAACCTGTGACTGTGCCCAAACTACAGAGTGGAGGGAATCGAGGACCAAAAGTGAAAGGATTTGATGAGAGCT